TTGTCCTAAAGGAATTTATAAAGCAACATTATTCTTGGCCATTTTCCCTCAATTTTTTTATCTGCCCCATTATATTTTAGGATACTTTAGTGATAAATACAAAGCCACTGCCAAAGAAACATATGCTTTAAGTTAAATAAGTTGGACACACACGTTTAAATACTGCATTGTTTCTCTGGTGTGAGAAACTGAAAGTAGAAATAACAACTAAAATGTATAAAAGATATTGGGAAATGAGAAGAAAATGTCCAAATGGGAAGAGGAACAAGGGAGGAGGGAGGGAGCTGTTGCCTGGACTTTAACTTGAGTAACAGGTATGGAAATGAGTGTTCTCTTCAGTGAGGCAAAAATACTGAAGCAGACGAGGGTAGTTATGGGACTAAAAAAATGGAATTGACCAAAGGAGCTCAGAAAGTACGATACAGTTGCTTAGAGTTCAGATGACAGAATTTTGGAGAACAGAAAGAAGCGTAAAGAATAGAAGATTAGAAATTCTTACCATGGGCCATGTAAGGGGACAAAGCACTATTAAAAATCTCTACCATTAAGAATCTGGGTTTCCTTATCTAGGGTTTCCTCAGATAGTTAAACTATAAAATCAACACAGAGTGGTAAGGTCAATGAAAAATAGACAACTTTAAGAATGGAAGATGGGGGCCGAGGATTTAGCTCAGTGGTTCTGCCGCCTGCCTCACAAGCACAAGGTCCCAAGTTTGATCCCTAGTACCCCCACAAAAGAATGGAAGATGGTTTTTAGAGTGAGATCTGGCTGTATGTAGCCTTATTGACGGTATTGGCATATCCAGAGGATGAATGTGTCCCTTGTAGGGGGAGAGAGCTAGCCAGAAATGGAGCACAGAGAAGGGGAGCAGCAGGGGCACACACTGGCAAGTCCTCTCCAAGTGGGGCTCAGAGAAGGCACGCTAGATCAGGCATGTGTCCCAACAGAAGGAATGTCTGTGTTGTCTCTGCTCTTCTTGGTGATTATGGAGGTTATGGCTCATTTTCCAAAATATTGTGCCATATACTTTAATTTTGAGCTTGGAAGGTGAGTAGTTCTCCTGGAGAAACAATCCTGAACATAGCATCTGTATGAAGGAAAACCATGCCTCACTTCTCAGATGAGCCAGGCAGCCAAGGCAGGCAGGCAAGCAGGCAGGCAGGCAAGCAGGCACTCTTCTCTGCTGACACCCATCAACCTTCCTAAAGTTCTTTTTAATTTTTTAACCTACACATTCTTAGACGAGCCACAGAGTAGAGCTTCTTCCTTTGAAAAGATTCTCATGTAATCACAGAGATGGTGTGCTTTAGGTTTGAGCCTTCAGTTTTGCAGTTTCAGAAGGAAGAGAGCATTCTGTCAGGGACAGGCTCATGTTATTCACATGTATAAACCGGAACACTTTAGTAAAAGACTTCTTTTCCATTTTCTTGGTCACTGGTTCCAGGTGTCCATTTTTTTGTGTCTGAATTATGGCAGTAGCCTATTAGTTGTTCTAACAAACTCTCTCTCTTTCTAATACTTCCTAGGTATGACTTCCAGTTCATGGTTTCTTCAGATCCTTCCTTTGTACACTTGATCTTAGCCAAAAGGCTGAGAAGCGATTCCTTTCTTTGTTACAGAGCCCATGTTCCTTCCTACTGTCACTAGCTCACATGGTCCACTTGCTACAATTCATTATTCCTCAAGTACCCTACCCTTCCTCAGTTACTGCTTATCACTACTGTTGAAAGCCTCTTTTTCCATCCTTCAAGATTGAGCTCAAATGCTACCTCCTTCATGTAGTTTGTCCTGATCCACCTCCACTGATGTATTCCTACAGCTTTTGGTGTATGTTCATAATATATGTAGTCCACATTACATTTTATAGTTGTTATGTGAGAAAACATTTGACCTCTCCTATTTAAATAAAAACTCTTCAAGGGTAAGAATTTTTTCTTTTCATTTGCATCCTTTCCATCCCCCAGCTCAGTGCCTTGTACAGAAGCTTAGCAAATGACTATTGAGTTAAACAATTGTTCTCATTACTTTTTCCTGTAACTCTTCTGCTTCAGCTAGGTTAGCCTCCTTGTCACATGACTTCCTTCCCTCCCTTCCTTCCTTCCTTCCCTCCCTCCCTCCCTCCCTCCCTCCTTCCTTCCTTCCTTCCTTCCTTCCTTCCTTCCTTCGTGCTCTTATTACTCTGTCAGTCCATGGCCTGCTCCTCCTCTAGAATTCAACTCAGGACTGACTACCTAGAAGTTATACTCAAATATATCCACTTTAATTAGTACTTCTGGATTTCTAAAGGCTTAATTTGGGCAATATTAATCACACTTGTTAATTTTCTTTTTTGAAACAGAATCTAACTTAGTTCAGGGCAGCCTTGAACTTACTATGTAGTCTAGGCCGGCCTCAAACTCACAGTGATTCTCCTGCCTCAGCCTCCTGTGTGCTGGCATTACAGGTTTTGTGTCACCATGCCTGGCCTGATTTTTTTTTTCTGAAGGGTTTACTTTTCTTTTCCTGAATTTATGAAAGGTGGTAGAATTTAATGGGAAGAACAGGGTTGGAATTGTTACTTGAAAGTTGTTAACTATATGGTTCTGGGAAAAGTGGGGATAGTATAATCTACTTTGTAGATATGACACATTAAAAATATGAAATGATTATCTAAGAATGGCATGCAGTAAGTCCAATAAATGTCATTTTCTTCCTCTTTTTTTCATCACAAAACGATTAGTTTGTATAAAATAGGAATATATTTCTTTTTTTCCTGGTCATTTTCATTGGTCTGTCTGCTTTCTCCCCACCACTACCATACATAAGAACACCAACATATAACCATATTCTTCACAAATACAACTATATGTTCCATACATCAGGGTTAGGGAGGAGATGTCTTTCTTCTCAAATGCTGAAGAGCAGCTTCCACATTCGCTGGAGAGCAGGGCATTGTGCTCCTGATGAAATGTCCCCATCCCCAACCCCGCAATGGCATGAAATGTTGGGGTTACAGGAGTGAAGTGTGGCTCTGAGTGAGTAACCCTGTCCAGTGAGGAAGGCCTGGGTCACTGCAGCTAAGAGGTAGGCTGCGTTGACATCTTTGGACTTAGTCTGCCCCCGTGTGGTCACAGGCAAGTGACATTCTTCACTGAACTCTTGAAATTCTGAAAGGGCCACAATAATGGGAAAAATTAAGAAAGGCAAATGACTGAAAATCAGGCAATACCTAATGCAGACCTTCTCAGAAGAAACCCTAAAACAGGATTTCACAACTCAACTGAAGTGTGCTTAAAACGGGATTCTCTATGTGCACGTACAATGGCTGTATTTCTCTCTTGACATAAAATGTCTATAAAGTACAGGCCCAGTAAACTGGAGGTCCTGCCCAGTTCTGTACATTCTAC